GAGCAGGCCCTCAATCCCTCTGTTACTGTGTCACTATACCCCACTCCCTCTAGAATGTAAACTCACTGAGCAGGGCCCTCAATCCCTCTGTTACTGTGTCACTATACCCCACTCCCTCTAACATGTAAACTCACTGAGCAGGCCCTCAATCCCTCTGTTACTGTGTCACTATACTCTACTCCCTCTAACATGTAAACTCACTGAGCAGGCCCTCAATCCCTCTGTTACTGTGTCACTATACCCCACTCCCTCTAACATGTAAACTCACTGAGCAGGCCCTCAATCCCTCTGTTACTGTGTCAATATCCCACTCCCTCTCACATGTAAACTCACTGAGCAGAGCCCTCAATCCTCTGTTACTGGGTCACTATACTCCACTTCTAACATGTAAACTCACTGAGCAGGCCCTCAATCCCTCTGCTAAGTAAGGTTACTGTGTCACTATACTCCCACTCCCTCTAACATGTAAACTCACTGAGCAGGCCTCAATCCCTCCTGTTACTGCCATTATACTCCCCACTCCCTCTAACATGTAAACTCACTGGGCAGAGCCCCTAACTCTCTGTTACTGTGTCACTATGCCCCACTCCCTCCAACATGTAAACTCACTGAGCAGGCCCTCAATCCCTCTGTTACTGTGTCACTATACCCCAATCCCTCTAACATGTAAGCTCACTGAGCAGGCCCTCAATCCCTCTGTTACTGTGTCACTATACCCCACTCCCTCTAACATGTAAACTCACTGAGCAGGCCCTCAATCCCTCTGTTACTGTGTCACTATAGCCCACTCCCTCTAACATGTCACTGAGCAGGCCCTCAATCCTCTGTTACTGCTCACTAAAACCCCACTCCCTCTGCAACATGTAAACTCACTGAGCAGGGGCCCTCAACTCTGTTACTGTGTCACTTCACCCCACTCCCTCTAACATGTAAACTCACTGAGCAGGGCCCTCAATCCCTCTGTTACTGTGTCACTATACCCCACTCCCTCTAACATGTAAACTCACTGAGCAGGGCCCTCAATCCCTCTGTTACTGTGTCACTATACCCCACTCCCTATAGCATGTAAACTCATTGAGCAGGGTCCTCAATCTCTGTTACTGTGTCACTATACCCCACTCCCTCTAACATGTAAACTCACTGAGCAGGGCCCTCAATCCCTCTGTTACTGTGTCACTATACCACACTCCCTGTAACATGTAAACTCACTGAGCAGGCCCTCAACCCCTCTGTTACTGTCACAATACCCCACTCCCTCTAACATGTAAACTCACTGAGCAGGGCCCTCAATCCCTCTGCTACTGTGTCACTATACCCCACTCCCTCTAACATGTAAACTCACTGAGAAGGCCCTCAATCCCTCTGTTACTGTCACTATACCCCACTCCCTCTAACATGTAAACTCACTGAGCAGGGCCTCAACCCCTCTGTTACTGTGTCACTATACCCCACTCCCTCTAACATGTAAACTCACTGAGCAGGGCCTCAACCCCTCTGTTACTGTCACTATACCCCACTCCCTCTAACATGTAAACTCACTGAGCAGGACCTCAATCCCTCTGTTATTGTGTCACTATACCCCCACTCCCTCTAACATGTAAACTCACTGAGCAGGACCCTCAATCCCTCTGTTACTGTGTGTCACTATACCCCACTCCCTCTAACATGTAAACTCACTGAGCAGGGCCCTAAATCCCTCTGTTACTGTCACTATACCCCACTCCCTCTAACATGTAAACTCACTGAGCAGGCCCTCAATCCCTCTGTTACTGTGTCACTATACCCCACTCCCTCTAACATATAAACTCACTGAGCAGGCCCTCAATCCCTCTGTTACTGTTTCACCATACCCCACTCCCTCTAACATGTAAACTCACTGAGCAGGGCCTCAAACCCTCTGTTACGTCACTATACCCCACTCCTCTAACATGTGTAAACCACTGAGTAGGCCCCAATCCTCTGCTACTGTCACTATATCCCACTCCCTCTAACATGTAAACTCACTGAGCAGGGCCCTCAATCCCTCTGTTACTGTCACTATACCCCACTCCCTCTAACATGTAAACTCACTGAGCAGGCCCTCAATCCCTCTGTTACTGTGTCACTATACCGCACTCCCTCTAACATGTAAACTTACTGAGCAGGCCCTCAATCCCTCTGTTACTGTGTCACTATACCCAACTCCCTCTAACATGTAAACTCACTGAGCAGGCCTTCAATCCCTCTGTTACTGTGTCACTATACCCCACTCCCTCTAACATGTAAACTCACTGAGCAGGGCCTCAATCCCTCTGTTTCTGTGTCACTATACCCCACTCCCTCTAACATGTAAACTCACTGAGCAGGCCCTCAATCCCTCTGTTCCTGTTACTATACCCCACTCCCTCTAACATGTAAACTTACTGAGCAGGCCCTCAATCCCTCTGTTACTGTGTCACTATACCCCACTCCCTCTAACATGTAAACTCACTGAGCAGGCCTCAATCCCTCTGTTACTGTGTCACTATACCCCACTCCCTCTAACATGTAAACTCACTGAGCAGGCCCTCAATCCCTCTGTTACTGTGTCACTATACCCCACTCCCTCTAACATGTAAACTCACTGAGCAGCCCCTCAATCCCTCTGTTACTGTGTCACTATACCCCACTCCCTCTAGCATGTAACCTCACTGAGCAGGGCCCTCAATCCCCCTGTTACTGTGTCACTATACCCCATTCCCTCTAACATGTAAACTCACTGAGCAGGCCCTCAATCCCCCTGTTACTGTGTCACTATACCCCACTCCCTCTAACATGTAAACTCACTGAGCAGGCCCGCAATCCCTCTGTTACTGTGTCACTATACCCCACTCCCTCTAGCATGTAACCTCACTGAGCAGGGCCCTCAATCCCCCTGTTACTGTGTCACTATACCCCACTCCCTCTAACATGTAAACTCACTGAGCAGGGCCCTCAATCCCTCTGTTACTGTGTCACTATACCCCACTCCCTCTAACATGTAAACTCACTGAGCAGGGCCCTCAATCCCTCTGTTACTGTCACTATACCCCCTCCCTCTAACATGTAAACTCACTGAGCAGGCCCTCAATACCTCTGTTACTGTCACTATACCCCACTCCCTCTAACATGTAAACTCACTGAGCAGGGCCCTCAATCCCTCTGTTACTGTGTCACTATACCCCACTCACTCTAACATGTAAACTCACTGAGCAGGGCCCTCAATCCCTCTGTTACTGTGTCACTATACCCCACTCCCTCTAACATGTAAACTCACTGAGCAGGACCTCAATCCCTCTGTTATTGTGTCACTATACCCCCACTCCCTCTAACATGTAAACTCACTGAGCAGGACCCTCAATCCCTCTGTTACTGTGTGTCACTATACCCCACTCCCTCTAACATGTAAACTCACTGAGCAGGGCCCTCAATCCCTCTGTTACTGTGTGTCACTATACCCCACTCCCTCTAACATGTAAACTCACTGAGCAGGCCCTCAATCCCTCTGTTACTGTGTCACTATACCCCACTCCCTCTAACATGTAAACTCACTGAGGACTCCCTGAATCCCCCTGTTACTGTGTCACTATACCCCACTCCCTCTAACATGTAAACTCACTGAGCAGGGCCCCCAATCCCTCTGTTACTGTCACTATACCCCACTCCCTCTAACATGTAAACTCACTGAGCAGGCCCTCAATCCCACTCCCTCTAACATGTAAACTCACTGAGCAGGCCCTCAATCCCTCTGTTACTGTGTCACTATACCCCACTCCCTCTAACATGTAAGCTTACTGAGCAGGGCCCTCAACCCCTCTGTTACTGTGTCACTCCCTCTAACATGTAAGCTTACTGAGCAGGCCCTCAATCCCTCTGTTACTGTGTAACTATAAATACTCCCTCTAACATGTAAACTCACTGAGCAGGGCCTCAGTCCCTCTGTTACTGTGTCACTATACCCCACTCCCTCTAACATGTAAACTCAATGAGCAGGGCCCTCAATCCCTCTGTTACTGTCACTATACCCCCACTCCCTCTAACATGTAAACTCACTGAGCAGGCTCCCCAAATCTCTGTTACTGTGTCACTATACCCCACTCCCTCTAGCATGTAAGCTCACTGAGTAGGGCCCTCAATCCCTCTGTTACTGTGTCACTATACCCCACTCCCTCTAACATGTAACCTCACTGAGCAGGCCCTCAATCCCTCTGTTACCGTGTCACTAGCCATTATTAACCCTCAAGGATATATAAAGACAGTGTTAGGTGAACGGGTATTTGTGGCAGTATGTGATGATAGTCCCTGAATTCTATCGAGAATATTAGAGAAAAGACCTGTGAGCCACAGTTGTAATACCCGGTAACATAGTAAATAGATACACCAGTATGAAAGAGGGTAGAGGGTCAGTGGATAAACCGCTACAAATATGAGCGGATAGTGACCCAGTTGGTAGCCAAGGTGATTATCTGAGGGTGTAGTAGATTAGATCACACCAATTCCACCATTAAATAGATGGTATTCGTCTAGAGGCAGGTACACCTCAAGCAGGCAAGTTGCAAAATTATAATTTAGCAGACAAAAGCTGCTAAAAGTATATGGACTTTGTAGACAGCGAATCCTGCTTTTATGTCTTGTTATTTATTATCTATTTAGTTAGTACACATTCCTTTCACTTTTATTTATTATTTTCTATTTCTGCTCCTTATGAGGGACCATTAAAGTTCACCTAGTTCTTACTTTTTCGCTCTATAATTAGGCACCTGTCCAGTTACTCTAAGAGCTACCCTCCTTTCAAGGATACTAGGTCTGTTAGGGTGCCGGTCTTACCTGCCACCTTCTAGTCCCTTTTTTTTTCTTCACAACTACATGTTTGTCGTCCACCCACTGTAAAGCGCTATGGAATCTGTTAGCGCTATATAAATAATAACATAATATAAATAATAACGTAATAGGTGAAGTTATATCTTCTGCTCCTACTTGTAGCAATATTTGTATGATTTTTGTACACTTTATGACATCATACAATCTCCACCTTGGCATGTGCAGTCATTGTGCCAGGTCCTCACAGCGAACAGCTTCCTATAGCTCAGCGCAATTTGTTATAGGAAGTGAACAGGGATTTATGCATTTATATAGAACAGAGAATACTTAAAAA